GTTGTCTTTAGCGGTTGTGTCGGGAAGGTGAGCATCATAGAATGCCAATTTACTAGAAGAAAGTATTCTTGTGTTGAGGGAGTACTTGAGTGGAACCTCCTGCCTGAATTTATAAGCAAGTGACAGTGATAGAGATAGGAATCTGAGAGGGGTGATAAACATGCCAACCTTCTTGCTGATTGGGACTTTGGAGTTGATGCATTACATCTGTGATCATATGGGCCTGCTCATTCTTTACCCCGGAGGGAGGCAGACACCCTGAATCTGGCATCACCAGGGGGCCATGGGGTCAGCTGGCACGCAGAGACTCCCACTACAAGGTAGAGAACAGAACCCACAGCCCATCAGGTAGGCAGGACCATACAGAAAAACTAAATGGGCCAGTAGCTCCCAGTTCCTGCTCACATTTTTATGTTGGGGGGCAAAAAATCCACTGTCCCTGAGTCAGTGCCGACTCATAACAACCGTGCAGGACAGGGTAGGACTGCCCCTGTCGGTTTCCAAGACTGTAACTCTTTACAGGAGTAGAAAGCCTCATTCATTTCCCAAGGAGCAGCTGATGGCTTGGAACTGCTGGCCTTGTGGTTAGCAGCCCAATGTGTAACCACTATGCCACCAGGGTTCTCACATTAGGCTGTCTCTGCAGTCCCCATGCTAGTTGCACATTGAGATCATCTGGAGAGCTTTCGAAATTTACCCACGCCTGGGTGCCATTGTGGTGTTGGTATTGTTAGCAGCCACCAGGCGGCTCCCAACTCATGACAACCTATGGTCAACCAAGCCAAAGCCACCTGCTTCTACGCCATCCCGTATTTGGTTGTGGATTACAGTTGTGATCCAAAGAACTTTCATCGTCTATAGTCTAGAAATCGAGCACCAGGCCTTTCTGCCTAGTCCTTCTTAGTGTGGAAACTCCACTGAAACCTGTTCATCCTCAGATCCACACATGCCTCCACTACCCGGTGGGTGGTGGCTTCAAATTAGGTGCATTGACTGGGAATTGGACGCAGACTCCCAGCATGGAAAGCAGCATTCTGCCACTGGGCCATCAGTCCCTCTCATGGGCTCGCTTGAAGAACAATTGAATACACTTCTGTGGCCCAGGGGATTCTGACCGATGCTGTGGGAGTGGAGAATTTCTCGTCCAGTCAAAGTCTGTCCACGTGGAAATATGAATATCAGCTGAGCTGTCATCTAAAAACCCTTCCTTGGCTACATTTCTTTAGCACTATGCTAAACCTCCAAACCTCAGTGCATTTCAGGAAGGCCACGCATATTTCCTCCCTATAGAATTCCAACAGTCCCTGTATTATACTAGCGACTAGAAGTGGTCAAAGAACGGGGCTCTAGCATAGTTTGAGCTGCAAAAGAATCTGAATTTTCATGTTTAACATGCAATTTGTTTAAAACACACACAAACACATTTTCACTAAGATCCTGGTTTTCCTTTTCTGTGGCGTTTGATCACATGATCTCTCTTATAGGAAAAGTCCGAAAATAAAATGGAAGAAAAAATTCTACAACTTGCAAGCAAAACAGAGAATTTTATTAATGCACAGAAACAGGAAACAGAACTGAACAGAGTAAAGCAGGTAGAAAATAAAATGTCTAAAAAGATTAACCAACTGGAAAAGCAGATCTGGGATGAACTAGAGAGAATGCAGATTGAATATCAATCAGGTGAGCAGCTGTATTTACTAAGTAAAGGAAATACATTCTTCCCTGTCCAGAGTTTTCTACTTTCAGCGCGTGGCCAGGGATCAGTCTCATCATTAGGGACAGTCATAGGTGTGTGATTGGATTTTCACGGAATGTAGGCACACCACTGGAGACAGGTAAACAAATTAGCTTCCTTCATTCACTAGTGGCAGTATCACCAGACTGGCAAATTGTGAAGTGTTTGAGTCTGAGATATTGAAATTACAGAATCTTTAAACCTGGCAGGGTCTTTGGAGTTTGCCAAGATGTGATTGGTGAGTTTACCAGGAACACAGGAGCTTAAAGCAAATCACCCTCTCACTGAACTTCAGGTAGGGAGCCTGGACAGATGTCCGACTCTAGGCCTGACCTTTAGAAGTGACAAAGAAAGATGAATTAGACAAGTCCGGTATAATGGTTGCTTTTCTTCTTGAGAGGCTAATGGCAGCAGTGTCAAGCTGAGCTAACATCAAAGAGGATTAATGTGAAAGGCTCATCTAATTTGTAAAAGAGAGAGGTTTGGGATCAGCGCTGTGGAGCAACCATCTGCCTGGAGTCACAATTAGAAAGGCTCCTGTCTTCCCAATCCTAGGGCGACGACGTGGACCTTCTATCAGATGTGGACCCTTTATCAAGTCGTAGCCCTTTGTACACGTGCCTTGAAGGGGCGTGGAGGAGAGGTGGTTGCTTTGGGCAGATGTTCCCAGCGTAGAAATAGAATTCACTGTCTAGAAGGCTGCCACTCACCCCACCTCCCCACCACCACTACCAAATTAAAACCACAAATTTTTGGACCAGGAATTATGTTCCAAACTTAATTAGCTGTTCTTTTAGGGCCCTGTTTTCGGGAGAAATACTGGACGTTCTACTCTCGCTAACAGTTATGGTCTCAAACCCCTGGGGGGTCACGCTATGAGTCAGCATTGATTCCATGGCTAGTTGTCCCCCTTCCTGGGGGACAACCCCAGGATGAGTTGAAGAGGCTTTCTACATCTACATCACAATCTACATCAGTGGTTTCCAACCTTCCTAAGGCTGGGACCCTTTAATACAGTGCCTCATGTTGTGGTGACCCTCCCAACCATAAAATTATTTTTGTTGCTACTTCCTAACTGTAATCTTGCTACTGTTATGAATCGGGTAATGCCTGTGAAAGGGTCGTTCAACAAAGGAGTCGTGATCCACAGGTTGAGAACTGATCTACATGTTTCTCAAAATTAATGGTTTCCAAATATGTTGGGACTGGAATGGGTTATACCTTAAGGAACTTGAGATCTGGTAGATCTGGGGTCATGAATGTCTACAAATGTTATAAAAGACACAAAGTGCTTGCAGGTTGTGGAGAGGCCGGGCAGGACTTCAGCAAGCTACTCTTCATTCAACTTGGCAGCAAGAATTGAAAAAGGGGTCCCTCACTCTCTTATCTAAGTCTTCAGAAATAAGTAACATTTTCCACTTCTTACTTGAAATGTAGTAATGATTTCGTTTTATAATGCATTTGGAAGAGGGATAATAAGAAGGATTGAATTAGATTTTCAATTCTTTCAATTAATTTAAAATGAAAAAAAATAAAGTTTTTAATGAAACCAGATACCAAATGTGTTACTATTGCTAATGAAACTGCATTCCATACAAGAAAACGGACTGCTGTACATTTTTAAATCGGTCTTGCTGGACTACAGTGTGTTTTGAATTAAATGATTGATTATAACGATAGGAACTGCTGATTAGCAACTCTGTTTTATAAAAACTTGCTCCAATGCATAGTTTAATTTCAGTATGCCTTTTCTCATCCCAGGGTTTAAATCAATTCATGACTCTCTCAGCTCCCTTCAACAAATACAGAAAACAAAGATGCAATTGGAGAAGCATAAAGTCCAAAAAGATCTGAAGAAGTTACAGCGCAAGATAGTCGAGCTCCAAGAAGAATAGCATTCCCGGCCCTTGCGTGGGTGTGCGTGAGGCGCCGCGGAGGAGAACGCTGACGTCTCCGCGTGCTGTCGGCTCCTGTCCTCTCTGTGCCGCTCAGCCCCTTCTACGGGAATGAATGTATCAAAAGAACCAATAAATCAATGGAGCCGAATGATGTTGACTAATTTATGAATGAAAAAAATGAGGCACTTATTCACACAACTGCCAATTTATATTCCAATTTGCCCTAGATCAGAACAATGTACATAAAAGTAGACCAGGCATAAAACATTAAAGAAAGGCAAGAACTATGATTAATAGGAGAAGATTTACACATATAATTAGTATGTATAAGGAAGCTTCAAAAAGATCGTGGGAAAACGGAATTGAAAGATAACTGAATTTTTTCCACAAATATTTTGAAGCCCATTTGTATTTAACCCATTATTTCTTTTTTAAGAGAAAAGAGACCTATGAAATCTCCGTGTTTTTAAACAGAAGTGACTAGTTTAAATGTTTTTTAAATGATGAAACAAATAACTGTGGGCATATCTGATTGGCTACCAATTCTAGTCTCTGACCCAGAGATATCAGTTTTCTAGCAATCCCAATATTTCTAGCAAATCTAATTTCTGCACGTTGCCAATGTGGAATGCAGGCCATATCTGAACTATCTTGGCCACCCAAGGGAGGAGAACCCATTTTCACACCAACCCAAGGCCTGGTGTCACAAGGCGGGGGTCAGACATGTCTCCGTCCTTCATCTTTCTGTACCCAGTTCTAACACCAGTCGTTCCTCTCCTGAAAGTCTACTTTTCTGTTGGGTCTGATAATCCCACACAGAACCCACATACAACACTCATTTTTCTGGGGGTTAGTAGGGAAGTTAACAGAGTACCACAAGTCAGAATCATAAAGCCTTAAGGATATAGTCTTTGGTCCAGAATAGCACCTCTCCTCGCCAGCAGCCAAGTCTCTCTCTCGGATCCTTTGATCCTCAGCCACATGTTCTGCTGGTCTCTGCCTTGTTCCATAGACCAAGGAGCCCACCCGCTACTCGGCCCCTCTGGTCTGGTGCTGCTGGACCTCAGGTGGCATGTTCTCTCTGCCTCTACCACTTTAGGCAGGAATCTCAAAAGACCTCACCCAGTCCTTTGGTGGCAGTTATATAGGGACACGAGTAGAAAAGCCGTATATTAAGAAATTTCGCTTCATGATCTATTCAAAGCATAGATTCATTGTGCTCAATATTATCAGACTATATGAGCAAGGAAAAACCAACCTATGCCGAATAAGAGAAGATAAGAGCCTTCATGGAAAACATCCAACTACTAAATTCAAAGGTGCTACTAAAGCACTATTTAATTTTCCAAAACATTAACACATGTCTAACTTTTCTAGATAAACATGAAAATAAAAGTAGACCTTGATCCTGGGCAACAGAGTCCAGAAAGAAAGAGAAAAGTGGGGGAAAGATGCTACAATATTAGCCTTGACTGGGAAAGGAGAGAGAGAGTGTCTCCCGTAACAAAGAACAAAGGTGCCTCCCAAGGCGCTTTTTGACCCATTCGTACCCTCTAGAATTTACTGTGCGAATGTGTCCGTTCACCACCATTATTAATGTGCATGCAGTATCAGCTTCACATCAGGACTTTAAGAGCTTTAAATGCAATAGTAAATGTCCTTTGAAATCAAATGCCATGCTAGAGTAAAAGGTTAGTGTCCCAATTAATTAAATAACTCTTATAAGTCAGTAAGAAACCAAAAATATACCCAATGATTTTCAAAACCAGCCAAGGGCTTGGTACCTAGGACTAGATGAGCCACAGCAGGACACAATGCCATAGTAATGTCATGGGTTATACTTTTAAAATCCAAATTCTCTGATTGTGTTGAATTCTGTCGATGTGAGAACATGGACCTAATATAGGTCTTCGTGTCTACCAGACACCAACCTTTGGATCTGTTCTTCAACTTTTCTGAGTCTTGGTTTCCTTATCTTAAAAGAGGATAACAATACCACAATTCATAGATTGTTTGAAGAATGTCTCTATAAATCTATGTAGCCGATCTTGTAGTAACCTCATTTAACAGGAGGAGCTCCATCTTGTTTCAAAAGGCCTTTAATCCCTGCTAGCAGTTAGCCCTCTTCGCCTCTTCCCTCTCCCCACAAGACCTTGACTCTTCTGAGATGTCTCCAAACTCTGTCTGCCCAATTAGCAAGCAATGCACACTATCTTATAAGACCTTGAATGAGCATCTGCATCTGTGCTGTTCCCCTAACCCCGTTACCCTGCCAACCTGATAAGAAGGTAACAGCTAGAATATCTCTCCCCTTGAGCCAATCCCCTATTTTGAACTATAAAAAAATTTGGAATTTCATTGTTCTGATTGAGAGGTTTTCCAGGTGCTAGCCTACTCTCGTTCCAGCTGTTTAATAAAGACTGTAATTATTAATATTGCGGTGTGGCTGATCACGCCCATTTACAACAATCTAATGAAGTGTTTGGCACATAGTAGAAACTGAACTTGATCAATGGTAGTAATTAATAATAAACAGAGTCTCCAAATAGGATGGGGGAAGAAAGGCAAGACCCATGGTACTTTGAGCCCAATGTGGTTCAAATCAGTATCTAGAAATAACAAGTTTAAATGCCCTTTTAATACTTATGAGAAGAAATACCCTGCCTTGCAAGATTTCTAGCAATAGCCAAAGCAGAGGGAAGTGCATATATAGATTTCTCCTGGAACAAGATTCTAACAAGGAATGGTTCCTCTCCTTATACCAGCACTTCTTTCCATTGTCTCCAGGGAGGGAGGCTAATTGCTGAAGAAGCATTAGGGACATTGATGCCAATGTCCAGTGAGGCATATATCCTCCATAAGTCCTGATCACTGAAGTAAACCCAATAGCCATTACTGCAAGTGCAAGCCATTAGTATCCCACTAGAAGATGCGTTTTTAAAAAGGTCACGTACTAAGTTCACATACGAAATATTCAGGAATGAACCTCAAGTCAGGGAGCCCACCCGGAGGCATGAGAAATATGCTGGACAAAACCCACCCTTCCCACCTGAAAACAACTCCTATGCAAAGGAATCCTATCGTTTACCACTTAAAACAAAAGCTCTGAAGTATTCACAACACCCACCACAATGGCCTGAGAACGCAGGGTGGATGAACAGAAAGAGCACGAGAACAAACGGGCCTGCCGGGCTTTCATGACTCTGGTCTGCAGGACTGATGGGTGATAACTAGAGAGCAAGGCCCTTCAACAGCAAGGAAGAGAGAACCTAAGAACTGAGGGGACAAAACTAAGCTGACGGGGGTTGTAAAAGGCCAAAGAGAAAACCCATTATGTATGGGTTGTGATACGACCCCCAATTAAATTTTTTTTTTTTAATCCTAATACCTTTTTCCGCCAAGTGTAAGCCACAGCAAAGGTAGAGTCTTTGTTATCACTGCTAGGTTTTAATGTGTAAAGTCGGTCCTTGGGAGGAGGCTCTCCTCCACACTCCTCCTGGGATTCGGAGAGTGTTGCCAGGAAAGCAGTGGTAGCATCTGAGCTTATGTCGCTAGGATGATTGCATCAGCGCCCCGCACAGTTAAATTTCTTTGAGGGGACAAGGATGATTACCATTATTAACAATTGCATTAGAAATCATCATTGGGCTACATGCTACTTGTATAAGAATCGACTTGCTTAAGAAATATCTTCACTAGACAAAGTTGCTGAAGAAGCCCGAGGAAAGGATTGGCGCAGTACGCCCGATGGGCTCAAACATACCAACGGCGAGGGGGTGCAGGACCCGGCGGCATTCGTTCAGTTGTACATAAAGTTGCTTCGAGTTGGAACTACTTGAAGGCACCGAACAACAACAAGACCACGTTTGCGGAGCCCTGAAAGTGTCGTGGGCTACCATCTGGCTTTTTTATAGTCCACATGAGGTCGGCAACTGGAAACCACCCTGGAAGCAAGCGAAGATGGACAGTCTTGGGAACCCACAGGGGCAGTTCTCCTCTGGCCTGTAGTGTCACTGAGTGAGAATCGACTTGGTGGCAGTGAGTTTGGAGGGATTTTTCTTCAGCGTGTGACAGTTTTACTCTAAAAAGACTGTGGTCATCTGTCCATAGACACAGGGTCTGATGCACTAGATGTGGAGTTTCTCTCTCTGCCCTTGAGCCTATTCTGATCCAGAGACCTTATAGGGCAGAGCAGAACTGCCCCTGTGGATTCCCCGAACTGTAAGTTGTATGGGAGTAAGAAAGCTTTATCTTTCCCTGAGGACCCACTAGAGGTTTTGAACCTCTGACCTGGGAGTTTCCAGCTCAACAGCAAACTCGGGTCTTCAGATGTGAGGTCTAAGTGCCAAAATAAAGCCTGCTGTGTGGGAAAACTTTCAATTAAGGGTTTTGTATCAATCGTTTTTTATACACTTCAGTGCAACATCTATTATGCACTGTTCTCTTCAGTTAACCTTACTTTCAAAGTATCCTAAATAACCCAAATTACCTTTTGAGTTAGGCTGGGTTGACGAGAAACAAATCCAGTGACATTCATATATGTATAAGAAATAGCTTTATATCAAGATGTTATTATGTATCATTAAAAAAATGTCCCAGCCCAGTCCAGATCAAGTCCGATACTAGTCCATACATCTGATACTAGTCTATAAATTCCTCTTTAGACTCACAGTCACAAGCAATGATGCCAAATACAGGAATGGAATATCAATGGCTAGTGGATGCAAAATCTGGGGATCTAATGGTGGTGGACGCATCTTGAGGGCCCTGGCAGGTCTCGGAGTGGCTGGCTGCCATGAAGATGAAGTGGAGAAAGAGATGGAGGTTCCAAGGACCCTGTTGTTAAGACCACGCCCACAAAGAGGCCCCAGCAGGCTGTGACCTGATTGACAGACCAGACTCCACCGGTACACTTTTATATCTTCAAATTGACATGAAATCCTGTAACTACCACACCTTTCTTTAAGCTGGTTTACTGTCAGGCTTCCATCATCACAGACCCAGTAGGTGCAAGTGTACAGCGATAATAAGTAAAGGTTATAGTAAAGTCATAGAAAATAAGGAGAGATAGAAGAGAGATTGAAATAATGAATCAGACACATTTCCTGGTCACATGCTCACCTCAGCTGCTCTTGG